GATTGCAGACTGGGTAAAGTATACAGTTCTAATAAAAATGGTATAAAAGTGTGAAATACTACACTTTAGAAATCATGATTGTGCAGGTATAGAAATAAAGGAAACGTCAAATATAATGAATGTAAATTGATATTTTCAAGCTTGGACAGAATTTTGAAATGAACCTTAAACGCTGCCGTGAATATGTGTGTCACGTGATACTACACAAACATTGATAGCATTTGAATTGTGAAATTACATCTGTTATGAAATGTGAACTTAAAAATGACAGATGCTGACGCGATTAGCACATTAAGTTACAAGCTCCAGGAAGGACTTCGACGATTAACTGCTTCCACCCACATGGCAGCGAGGAGTACAATGATACGATACAGATAACAATGCTCTGTTTCACAAAGAAATCACAGCAGTCCAAATATCTAAGGCCAAATAAAAAAAATGTTGTGGTTCCAATTACACCTCTTTAAAATTTTATGTTTGTGTATTTTACAATTGTATTGTCCTATGGGTGGTGGTGGTGGTGGAATTGGGTTTAACGTCGTGTTTGAGAATATTTCGCCCATATGACGTGCATGCGTGTGTATGTGTATGTGCGGCTGCTTGTACTAGCCCAGACTGAAGCTGGTTTTATAGTACTAGTCCACTGAGATACCATGCTGCAGTGAAGCATGAATACCCCACTCAGACACATTATACTGACTCCGAGCCGACCAGTCCTTGTTGTACCCATTAATGCCGAGCGCCAGGCAGGGACCAACAAGTACCATATTTTAACGTCTTTTGGTATGACGCGGTCGGGGATTGAACCCGTGACCTTTCGCAGTCCGGCCCAACGCTCTAACCACTACACCACAGAGGCGGTCTGTCCTATGGGCATGTGGCCCCTTTGACAGAAATAAACCATATAGGCCTCACTGTAATAGGGTTGTAGGCTTATTTCTTTTTAAAACACTACAACTATGTTTGAGAACTAAGCACAGAAATCAGTTTCTACCATATATTTACATGTGTGGCCATTTCTGTCAGTGCACTGAACGTATTGTGACAACAAATTCTGTCTGCACTTTTAGTCTGCACTTTGAAACAGAGTGTTGAAGTCATATATTCACCCAATTGTACTCACACAGCTGACGACAATGTAACAATATCAATAAATATGTATGATGCACAGTTGGGTGTCATGTCACGCTAACCACACACTGTGTCCTCAATTCACACTACATCAGGATGGCATTCTCCATCAGTGGCCAGCTACAGAAACGACAACAAAATTGTTTAATTTAGGTCTGTTCTCAGGTTTTATGCAGACATGGTAATCTATATTGCAATGAGTCACAAGGTAATACAACCCAGCAACTATCATGGAGACTTACTACAAAGCATAATAAATATACTTCATCAAAAACAAACACAAATACGAATCAAATTTAACCCCTGTATTATGTAGCCAATTAACACCTGTATTATGTAGCCAGGTGTAAATATTAGGACTGTGTATTGGCAAATGAATTGTACTGCAATATACTGGGATACAGGGATACATATAGACTAAGGCTTAGTCTCTGAATATATATAATTTTGATAGTAACAAACAAGCCCATATATATTGAAAAGGAGCCCCAGGGAGACCAGAGATTCAGACTGAGGAAATCTAGACTTACTTTATTTAAAGGTCACATGCAACCAAAAAATCAAACATAATTAAAACACAATTATCACTTCTTCATGACATATAATATGCATTGCTGATTATGAAAAAACAAATAAACAAAATTATAAGCGTATAATCGCAAATCAAAAGTGCAATATTGTGTACTTGGGTTTACCTCCCTCGAAACAAAGCAGCCGGGATACCGAACCCAGTCAGAGCGGGTTGGTGTGCACTCAAGTGTAACGGCTGGTTCATTAGCAGATGCCGCCTTCACGGCTGGCTCATGGTGTGTGTGTAGAGATGTTGGGTTTTGTAAATACATGCTCATTTTTTGTGTATAACATTTTGCAATCAACAGACATCATAACATGTCATGTGTTCAAGTATCACACCTGCCTGTCTGTGTAATTACATAATGTAACAGAGACCGAACTCGGGCCATAAATCAATGCGCTTTTGTTTATGGTGTATAGCCTGATTGGTGTTAAGTTCAAATTGCATGTGGTCAGTGATCGCGAGTTGTGTATTGAATATTGTCATTAGCAGACAGGCAGGCAGACACACAGGTGTCAATAAAACAAGACATTGAGTTTTGTCTGTGACAAACGACATATCTATATCACAGTTAGAAATTCTGTCAACGCTTAAATAATGACATTGCTTTTAAGCATCGAACTGAGAAAGTGACGCGGTAAGAAGAACGTGTGGTGAAATAGACAATTGAAATTATATAAACAGTTTATTTACTGTCATAACATATAAAAGCTCGCGCTCGTGAGATATCAACAAAACATTAGAAAAATAGCTCACACCAAAGCCTTCACCGAGTATTCACCCGACAACCCGCTTCCAAGCTGCGCGAACCTCTTTACTTGCGCACGTGCTATGAGCGCAGCCCAGCTGTTGAAACCCGTATTCCCCAGAAAAGTCTGGGGAAAATTAGCGAAACGTTTGAACTCCGATTTCGCACGTCTTTTTTCATTGCGTTATTTTTCAACTTTATAAGTTGAATTTGCATTTTTGACGATTTGTTTCGCTATGTCCATACCGAAAGGTATCAGAATCTGCAAAGTTGTGTTTTACGTTGCATGTGACCTTTAAGGCTTTAGCATTGCAGAGAGGGCTTGGCAATAGGGAAATTAATGTGGTTCAGGGACTGTGAGACAGACTAGGATACATACTGTGATGTACTGTGAGCTTGTGTTTGACGATGGGTTTTGATGTTTGTACATACAGATTTTATTTTCTACATATTAATTCCCTAAAAACAAATGATACGGTTCTGATATCACCAATTGCAAAAACAAAAAGGCTGGATAGTTAGTGATTGTTTCTTTTTTATAGATTTTATACTATTCAACCTATGTCATTTTATCAATTAATTGCTATGGGTCAATGAAAGTGTATAGTTTAACGTACACCATAAAGATAATGACAAAACTAGTTATATTTTTTTAACCAAATATTCATTCTAAAAATATTGCAATACAAATTATTTGAGATACATACTTCGGTACACCAGTAATATCATGCACAGTCCTAGAATATATATGAAATGCATGTTCACCAGTGTCATGATAACCCAATACACAGATCACCCTGACCTTGGTGCATCATGGCATGCCTAGCAATGACAGATGTGACACCCCAAGACGCATCTTCTGTAAAACAGCTGCATAAGTGCTTGTTTGTCCTTGCAAACAATGTAAACTATCAAATATAAAAAAACTACTTGTCCTCAATAAGGCTTTCCTTGGAAGATGATATATCAAATGTGTTTATCAACAAACAAAATGGGAAATCATTACAAACACATAAATCTTGAAAGAAACATGCCAAAATTCTCCAAATTACATGATGACTTCTATGCATGTTACTAGGGCAGCCTGAGCATCTCCCCCACCCAACCCCAAGGATTATCTACCTATTGCAGAGTGACACTACACAACAAACTATATAGTGAATACAGGTCCCTTACTATGTTATAATGTGATTTCATAAACAATGTGACAAACTGATAGCAGTTTTCAGTCCAGAATGATGTAACTGGGTAAGTACCGAAGTATACACATAATGTTCATATCATTTTACATGTTGTGCAGAACTTAAACTACTGACTTTTGACAAATGAAAATAACATGACCATAATGGTAAATGAAAAATTCCTAAGTTATCAGAATTTAGAAGTACACTGACTATAAATGGAGCTGGCAAAGATTCCACACATCAATCAATGCTACGCAAAATAATAAAGCAACCATGTAAAAGCATGCCATGTGAAATAGTCAACATAAAACACACAGCTAAAATATTCAGTTAAACAAGCACTGTCACTAGCAAGTAATCACAAAATAGAATAGGTGTGTTAAATCTGAAATTGCAAACAATACAAATTTAGTCATGCCAAAGAGATCATTTCCAACACTGATTTCATTTGCCAGTTCAACATAATCACCATCCATCTCTGACACACAATCTCACCCTACAAGAATCAATAAATATTTGGGCCAATGTTTGCATTCTGCTTAATCCAAATGAAGCTAAAACGTACCACGCTAGAAAGCGTAATTTTATTCATCAGATTGAAGGGCACAAATCAATTTACAAGTCTCTGAGTTAGCTGTGTCAATTCATCAAAGTGATAATTTATGACGTTTACACAGAGGCTAATAAACACAATCATTGTTGTCAATACACACACCACCTGGACAACTTCAGAGATATAACCCATGTGAAGGATTCGTTCAATGTTTGGAAATTCCTGAAATGCGCTTTACAATTCGTACAAAATTGTTCAAATATTCATAAATGTGGCTTTATTTGCCTGTCTACGAAACTATTTGACACTAGGAAGGGGCAAAACAAAGGGAGGAAGTACGGTCCGTCATCAAGCCTCGGCGAAATCGACACCCCTCTGCTGGGGGTCATTTGCATAAAATGCACCGACATGGATGTCCCATGGTGCAGTCTGCAAATAGTCAAAACTGGGATATTTTGAACACACGCGCCTGTCAGCTTTGCGCCACATCTCGGCAGATGGAGGAATCACGACTGCCTCCTTCAACAAACATTGAGGAATCAATAATTGTCGATTGCCGAGAGAAAAAAATTGCACTGAAGCGTACAAATCATAAGCGGACTTATTTAGTCCATGCTCCCCGACAAGCAATGACCTAATTTTGTGCCAACTTGGCTGTTTCACAACTGAAAAGTTAAGAGTAAAATTACAGCACAAATGCAATATGCTTGATCGATCTGCTGACTAATTTAATTCACGTATTATCTGATTTACACATCAAACTGCGACATAATGTTCGCCATTGGGTCAGCGCGACTCGATTAAACTCACCTTTCGGATCAAGACAAAGGCTCGCAATGTCCGCCACAGGCCTAGTCCGTCCTGTGAACACGATTCAATCACTCCGTGCGATATCCACAGTCACCTCCTGGGTAAACCGGGATGGTGCTCAGGGTGTTAGGACTTCAATTATTCGAAAAATCGTAATTATTATCGACAATTTCAAGAATTGAGTGGCTTTCTTCTCGAGTGTTGAAAAACTTTCAGTGGTCAGTAGTCCTGCCGCTAAATGGCGCGTGCTCTCGCTAAATCTCGCATCATCAGTCAGTGTGCCGCGAGAGCTGGCTCTTCGGAGTTTTCCGGAACAGATACGGTGATGTACGAAATTTCCATAGGGAATATTTTTTAACACGATCAAATATTTACACGTCAAATAGAAATCGCATGATGTTGAAAGTTTAACTTTGAAAAAGGAATCCCAAAATACGTTTGTTTTATGCATTTCCGGGTCAAACAATCATGGCGGACGTGAAGTCTTTGGAACATCCAACATTGAAGGTACGATGGTTTTCAGACGTAATCTGCAATAGTTTCTTTCAATTCAACGCAAATCTCGTTACAGAATACAAACTTTATGTTGTTTTGAATCATGTTTAATGCTAACATCATTCTTGTGAGATCTTAAGGCGAAAACTAATCGTCTCGGCTCATTACTGAAATGACCCAACTAAACCTGAAACCAGACCAGCACGACACATCGACAGTGTCAACTTCAGATGTAATTATAAAGTTTAAAAGGAATGGCTAAAGGGATTCAATTAACGACGTTCAAAAAGTGTCAACGGACCATAATTATTCGGAAACAAGTAAGATAGACGTAATAAATGATTTGTCTTTTCACATAGCTCCAAAATTCACCAAATTTAAGTGGCACAAAAAATGTAATTTTTCCTTTCATACACTTCTCTAGAAAGGATACCATGCTCTTAAAAGTTAGTTTAGGAAACTTTCAGAGAGATTCGTTCACAAGCAAGTTCATACATGCAGAACCATGCAACTGTAATAAGGGTACAGCATTTTTGGGTACACAAACAAGCTTAGATCGGAGATCAGGGATTGGGAAAGGCAGGGCCATTTTGCACATTAGAATAAAAAATGGCCCATTAAATTTTTTAAGTTTACTTTTGACACAAGGGCAGTGGCCCATTCTAAATAATCATGAAAATGGTCCATTGTCAAAGATCTCTATCCCAGTCCCTTGGAGATATTAATAGTAAATTGACCCCAGTCAAACATTATTGGTTGCTTGAGCAAACTGTGTCTGTATATACAAATATAACCTAAGGGGGGCACTGTTTATAACACTAAAATCATGCTGACTACAGCTTAGGTATGGCATGTTACATATGTGACCTAGTGTTCTGCTGCAGAACTTAATCAGTTTTAGCGATATGGTGGTGTCATTTATTTTTGTCATGGTAATGATCATTTGGGGTTGTTCTTCAATTCAAATTAAACCATCTCTACTTTTGTCATGTTTTCTTGTCATACAGGTTCCATATGAGGTACTGAACAAAAAGTTTCGAACAGCACAAAAAAATATTGATCGTGAAGTGTCTCACATACAAGGCGCTGGTAACGAACTTGAGAAATGTCTGCAGGAAAGTAGTGTCTCTGTGGGTGATGTCTCAAGAGTCCTTGACAACATGGTGGAAAAGTTAACATTCCTCAAGAGGAAGGTAGGTCTTTTGTCAGGCAATATGTCTGTATGAGGCAATAGTTTGTTCTAATGATGGAATAGAAGATAAACATACTGACTGTTACTTTTTATGTATTTGATTTCAATGTATGCTATGGTCAGTGTGTTACTGTACAGCTTTAGCAAAAGAATCTCTCCTTTTGTCCTATCGATTAAGAAATGATTGTAAAGGTCTTAGCTTCACATAGAAGGAATTGCTTAACCCTTTCTTTTTAGATATTACATGATATCATAGTGGTGTATCTGCTAATGCTTGATACCCGAAAAGATACAGATTAGAATTGATCTCCAACAACCCATGCTTGTCGTTAGAGATGAATAACAGGATTGGGGTAGTCAGATGCATGTATGATGCATGTCGTTGTATCCAAATTGCATGGATCGATGCTCATGATGTCAATCTCTGGATTGTCTGGACCAAACTTGATTATTTACAGACCACCGTCATATAGCTAGAATATTGCTGAGTGCATAAAAACAACAAACCAACAAGCACTAAAGCTTGAGTTTGTTGTGACAGTAAATTATCTGGAAAATAGACAAACTTGAATGTGCAATTTGAAAGATTGAGGATGTTTTATGCATGTTTTATTGAACCCTTTTGTACTTTTTGAAAGTGAGATTTGCAAGAATGGAATATGTACTAGCCTTGCAGCTGTGCAAGTTATGTTAGTTTGCCAAGGCCACACATGGTGCTGTCAACTATAACTGATAACTATTACATACCAAAATTTGAGTGTCATGAGATCACTGGTTATTGTTGTGACAAATTAACACTGTCAACATGGGCGTTCCATATTGTACATCAATCACTTACCTACAATATTGCATTCATGAATAATTATTTGTGTTCGTTACCCAATATTCATGACACGTATCATATTAGCCACATAGTGTATTCTTTGCAGCCCCAGACATACCTTTATATTTTAAGAATATGAAAACAATAAAACTCCAGTTTTGAACAAGATTATAATTTTTACCCAGTTTGCCTGTCATGTTCACTTAGAATTGCATATATTTCCTTACATGTGAGTAACCTGTGAAGGTCCGGGTTAGAATGAACATTCAGTAACCCATGCTTGTCGTAAGAGGCAACTAACGTGATCGGGTGGTCAGGCTTGCTGACTTGGTTGACACATGTCATCGGTTCCCAATTGCGCAGATCGATGCTCATGATGTTGATCACTGCACTGTCTGGTCCAGACTCGATTATTTACAGACCGCCGCCATAAAGCTGGAATATTGCTGAGTGCGGCGTAAAACTACTCTCACTCACTCACTCATTATATGTGAGTACAGCTTTAAAATACCAAGAGACAAACAGTCACTAGTCAACATCACTGCCCATCAGTGCTCCATCTGCATTGATTCCCTCGTAGAGTTGAACCCCACTACTATGCTTGTTTGTTAGAGTTTTGGGGCGGTGGGGTAGCCTAGTGGTTAACGCTGACGGCCCGGGTTCGATTCCCCACATGGGTACAATTTGTGAAGCCCATTTCTGGTGTCCCCTGCCGTGATATTGCTGGAATATTGCTAAAAAACCTGTAGTAAAACCATACTCAGTCAGTCAGTGTTTGAGTTGAAAATGGAGGATTAAGATTTACAATGTATGGCCATCAGATAGAGCATTATTATGGACTGGGAGTGTGGATATTTCTCATGACATCTCTGTTGGCTGGCTGATATTTCATGTCATTATGCCCTGCCCTGAAGTGGAGGGAGGATGTGGGATCAGGTGCTGGCCATCCATCCATCCATCCTTCCTTCCATCCATCCTCCCATGCACCCTTCCTTCCATCCATCCTCCCATGCACCCTTCCGTCCATCCATGCATCCTTCCATCCATCCATCCATCCTCCCATGCATCCTTCCATCCATCCATCCTCCCATGCATCCTTCCGTCCACCTCCCTGTCCATCCATCCTCCCATGCATCCTTCCATCCACCTCCCTGTCCTTCCATCCATCCATCCATCCTCCCATGCATCCTCCCATGCATCCTCCCATGCATCATTCCGTCCATGCATCAAACCCATGCAGCCTTTTTATGTTTTGGTGTTTCTTAAAGAAATAGATTTAATTACAGCAAGTATTTTCCATTGCAGGGGATATCAGTGATGTTGTCTTCTTGTTTTGTATTTGCGATGTATACCCCTTGACAGTGGAACTTCTAAGAATATATATAGTGAACTACTGGGAAAAAAAGACGAACACAGTTTACAAATGTTATCCAAACTAGCCTACTTCCTAGAAGTGGGTTTTATTATTTAGTGCTTGCAATTAGAGCCTTTACAAGTTTTCAAACTTTGTGAAAAAATAAGCCAAAATACTTTTGATGAGTTACCCTTCCTTTCTCCAAGTATATTCATCGATGCTTATGCTGTTGATCACTGGATAGTCTGGTCCAGACTCGATTATTTACAGACTGTCGTCAAATAGCTGGAATATTGCTGAGTGCGGCGTAACACTAAACTCACTCACTCATGTATATTCACTCCTACAGGAAGCTGGTCCAAATTATTGGTTGCCGGGGATTGTGTTAACGCAGTTCTCTTATTTACACAAGATCCACAACTACCACCATCACCACACACACTCAACCACACACTCACACACTTACTCTACCAGAAAAAACACTGGACTCGGACGTCGGGCAATGGGTTATTTCCACCCCTGCCCATACTTCAAGTTATTTCATGCCCTGCCATACAGTGGAGGGAGGATTTGGGAATGGATGCTGGCCGTCCATCCTTACCTCCTTCCTTACGTCCATCCCTCCATCTGTTCATCAATTTTGTCACTTAATTCCAAAGCACAGCTTGAAAAACAGTGAATATTTTGCATATTTATCAAACCCATGCAGCCATTTATGTTTTGGTGTTTCTAAAAGAAACTGATTCCATGTCCTTGATGTTGTCCTCTTGTTTTGAAGTTGTTATGGGATTGTGTTCATTCAGTTTTCTTATATACACCCTACGCACACCCACTTACACAAACCTGTGAAGATCCGGGTTAGAATTGGTCTTCAGCAACCCATGCTTGTCGTTAAAGGCGACTAAGGGGATCAGGTGGTCAGACTCGCTGACTTGGTTGACACATGTCATCGTATTGCATAGATCGATGCTCATGCTGTTGATCACTGGATTGTCTGGTCCAGATTTGATTATTTACAGACCACAGCTTATCAGCTGGAATATTGCTGAGTGCTGAGCTAAACAACAAACCAATCAACCCACTCACCAACTCAACCACTTACTCATCTACCCTATCTACATGATGTATGATTGCAGGCCGATGAAAGTATCCAGGATGAACTAGAGGCTGCCCGGGTCATCAAACGCCGGGTAGAGCACCTGAAGGAGGCTGAGAATCTCCCCGAGGAGGCGCGTCCGCTGTGGCAGAAGAAGCGTCTGGATCGCATGCTAGTGGAGTTCTTCCTACGGGCCGGGTACTATAACACAGCTCTCAAGTTGGCCCGGCATTCTGAAATAGAGGTACACCATCTTTTGCTGCTTTGCTAATGTTCGCAATTTGGTATTCAGGCTTTTTGTTTTGTTGCCATTTGTCTGGGACAATGCCTTTAGTTTTCTTGCCAATGAACTTGTTTCTTAGCTGTTTTTACTTATTTTAGATCTTATTTTTACTGTATCAACTATTTTAGCATCAACTAAATGTACCAAACAAAAGTTTGCAAGGATTTTATTTTTGGATTAAATTCCTTTCTTCCGTAATAAAAAAAATATTCAAAAATTTAGATTTTGTACCATCACTCCTGGATTGTGACATTATTAATTAACACATAATTCCATTTTGTTTAGTTGACATTAGCACAGCTTTTTATTCATATATGTTACAACAGTCTTATTAGCCCACTATATTGAAAACGTGTGTCAATATTCATGAAGTTAAGATGCATTTGTTTGCAGGATTTGACAAACATAGAGCTCTTCCTCACCTCAAAGGAAGTGGAGGAATCGCTGATGAGACACGAGACTGGGCCCTGTCTAGCTTGGTGCTACGACAACAAGTCCAAACTACGAAAGATGAAGGTTATATCTTTTTCCTTTCTATCATGTTTCTTGTTAGAAGGTGACATAGATTGCAGTGACTGTACAAAATCGATCAGATCTTATACACATTCAGTCTCTTAGTCTTACTTTTGAATGATGTCTCTTTGTATTAAGATGTCTTGTAAATTGACTTCAAAATAAAATCAAAATATTATATACATGTTCCAATAAAATCATATTGAACTTCAACTTGAATAAAAACACTTTAATAAAAAATATCAGTTTTGAACCTAGTAACAATTCTTTCCTATTTGCTTGCCAGGGTCGGTTACTTTTACATCCTTAATATATCCCAGTATCAGTAAGGCTATACTCCAGATTTATCACATGAAAATAGGAAACTTCAACCAATGTGGAAGCAGCATCTTCATCAATTATGCTTTGGTTTCAGAGTACCCTAGAGTTCAAAGTTCGCAGACAGGAGTTCATTGAGTTGGTCCGCAGTGATAAGCGACTGGAGGCTGTCAAGTAAGTCGGACACCATTATTGTGAAGGTTTTCATTCACATTTGCACCAGTACAGAGCAATGGTAATATAAGTTATTAGATGCACAGAATGTTTCACTAGTCATTGGATTGCGTCCATAGTGTAGTGTATAGATTATATCATTTGATTTATGAACCTTTAATTTGAACAGGGAGGTGGGGTAGCCTAGTGGTTAATGCGCTTGCTCCTCACACCAAGGACCCAGGTTCGAATCACCACATGGGTACAATGTGTGAAGCCCATTTCTGGTATTTCCTGATGTAATATTGCTGGAATATTGCTAAAAGCGGTGTAAAATACACTCACTCACTCACTCACTCACTCACTCACTCACTCACTCACTCACTCACTCACTCACTCACTCACTCACTCACTCACTCACTCACTCACTCACTCACTCACTCACTCACTCACTCACTCACTCACTCACTCACTCACTCACTCATTATCAAATTTTAACTTGTGGACATTATTGGGCTTTATGCTGCAAGATGGCATATCAGTTTTATTGTTACACCAGAAACCTATCAGTTTACCTGGGTCTGTCTGCTTGGTTTTACCATCTGATTAGTGTGTTGCTTGATGTCTGTTAAGTGTTCCCATTTGCAAGAGGCAGTGGGGTAGACTTGTGGTTAAAGCATTCGTTCATCAGGTTTGTGTCCACATTGGTAAAATGCGTGAATCCCATTGCTGGTCTGACATCATCTGTGATATTGCTGGAATATTGCTCCAAAGCGGCATAAAGACTCACTCACTCACTCACTCACTCACTCACTCACTCACTCACTCACTCACTCACTCACTCACTCACTCACTCACTCACTCACTCACATTGAGTCTGGACCAGGCAATCCAGTGATCAACAGCATGAGCATCGATCTACGCAATTGGGAACCGAAGACATGTGTCAGCCAAGTCAGCGAGCCTGACCACCCGATCCCGTTTGTCGCCTCTTACCACAAGCATGGGTTACGGAAGATCAATATTCTAACCCGGATGACTCAATTATGAACAGACCACCATCATATAGCTGGAATATTGCTGAGTGCTGTGTTAAACAACAAACAAATAGTTGCTGTTCACAGGGAGGCGACAGACAGTTGGCATGCTACCTGAAGGGTAGCAACCAGATTTAACCAGAATTTACATCAATTCAGTAGCAGTCAAGTAAAATGTATCCTTCGTCCTGAACGGTTGAATGTATTGTGTTTGCAGACATGCCAGGAAATACCTGAGTGGTGTCGAGGACGACCAGATCCCAGCTGTGCAGAAGGTCATGGCGCTCCTGGCTTTCCCCAGTGATACACAGATAGCTCCTTATAAGGTATGGCGCTGAAGGGAATGATGCCCTGGTTTCAGTGAGTGATTGTATGAGATGTTTATAGTACAATTTATTGAGTAGGTGTTTGCTGTGATGTTTCAGAGAAAGTGCATGCTGATATGTAAGTGAATGAGTGTAGGCGGTGATGTTTCAGGGTTAGTGAGTGAGCTAGTATAGATGTGGTGTTTCCAGATGAATTAGTGAGTTAGTGTACACGATGATGTTTCAGGTGAAGTGAGTGTACGCGATGATGTTTCAGGTGAAGTGAGTGTGGCGATGTTTCAGGTGAAGTGATGTTTGTTTCAGGTGAAGTGAGTGTATGCGATGATGTTTCAGGTGAAGTGAGTGTTTCAGGTGAAGTGAGTGATGATGTTTCAGGTGAAGTGAGTGTATGTGATGATGTTTCAGGTGAAGTGAGTGTAATGGTGTGATGATGTTTCAGTGAAGTGAAGCGGTGATGTTACAGGTGAAGTGAGTGCGCGATGATGTTTCAGGTGAAGTGAGTGTACGTGATGATGTTTCAGGTGAAGTGAGTGTACGCGGTGATGTTTCAGGTGAAGTGAGTACGTGATGATGTTTCAGGTGAAGTGAGTGTATGTGATGATGTTTCAGGTGAAGTGAGTGTACGTGATGATGTTTCAGGTGAAGTGAGTGTACGTGATGATGTTTCAGGTGAAGTGAGTGTATGTGATGATGTTTCAGGTGAAGTGAGTGTATGTGATGATGTTTACAGGTGAAGTGAGTGAGCTACTGTATCTTGTGATGTTTCAGGACTAGTGAGTGATTTAGTGAATGTTCTGATGTTTCAGGAGCTGTTGGATGTGAGTCGTTGGCAGGAGCTTGTCCAGCAGTTCCGGGAGGAGAACTTTAAGTTGCACCAGCTCAACTGTACGTCTGTCTTCACCGCGGCCATCCAGGCGGGGCTGTCTTCACTCAAAACGCCGTATCCTTTACCAACACTCCTTACATCAGTGTGAATATAGTAGAGAGTTACCTGGGATATTTAGGTGCTCCCCAATGACAATCCAGAAACCTTTAATAATGGCATTGTATTGAAGATTCACACGGATTACGTTTCCATGTTTATCAGAAGCATACCAGGGCGGTAGTTTAGCCTAGTGGTTAAAGCCTTTGCTCGTCATGCTGAAAACCTGGGTTTGATTCTCCACATGGGTACAATGTGTGAAGCCCATTTCTGGTGTCCCCTGCCGTGATATTGCTGGAATATTGCTAGAAGTGGTGTAAAACCATACTCACTCACTCAGAAGCATACCAGTGCTTGTATAAAAGTGATTTAATTATTAGAACGATTTAGGTAAGAGTTGGTGCAGAGAAATTCATTGCTTCATGATGCCTGTACCTTAAATAAAACAAAAGCTATGATTATGGATTCAATCCCAAATTGTCCTGTAGTATATTGTAAGGTTTCACGACACCATACCTGTGCTCAATGATTGTAAATGTGTGAAGCCAGCATCACTGTGGAATTACAGCAGAAGTCTGTTATTACTGAAAATACCCATGAAGGTCCGGGTTAGAATATTGATCTTCAGTAACCCATCCTTGTCGTAAGAGGCGACTAATGGGATCGGGTGGTCAGGCTCGCTGACTTGGTTGACACATGTCATCGGTTCAATTGAGCTGATCGATGCTCATGCTGTTGATCACTGGATTGTCTGGTCCAGACTTGATTATTATCAGACCGCCGCCATATAGCTGGAATATTGCTAAGTAGCGTAAATCTTAACTCACTCATTCACTATTACTGAAAATGTCCTGAGAAGTTTTACAGTATAATTTCTCTAATCACCCACTTGGTGTATTTTATCATCTGCAGCTTTAGCTGGTAAACTGAAGCCAGAGTCAAATAAATTCTGTTTGGTCAAGTAACTTCAGACAATAATGGACAGTAAATTAACACTAATATCTACATAATCCTGATCACCAGGGGCTGGTGGGATGACTCCAAAGCTTTGACACTGACTAAAAACATTCTTTGAAGTTTTGTGGGCTATGATTGATTCTGTGTTTGTCAAACCATTAGGCAGTTCTATATTACAAATGCCTTCCAGTAGGTGAGAATTCCTTAACAGCCACCAGTCACTGTTACAAGTCTACGTCAGAGAACAAGAACCCGAACTGCCCCGTGTGTTCCAAGCACCTGAACGAGCTCGCAAGACCGCTGCCGTATGCTCACTGTGCCAACTCCAAACTTATCTGCACAATCACAGGTGGCTCTCTCAACGAGAACAACCCACCAATGATGCTCCCAAATGGACATGTGTACGGTTACAATGTGAGTAGATTTGTTTGTTTGTTTGTTTATCACCGCTCTCAGCAATATTAGAGCAATATTTTGGCGGTATCTAAATAATCGAGACAGCATCACACTATCCAGTGATTAACAGCATGAGCATCGATGTATGCAACTGGGATATGATAACATGCATGAACCAAATCAGCCAGCCTGACCACCCAATCGTATTAGTCGGGTCTTACGACAAGCATGGGTTCCAGGAGACCAATTCTAACCTGGGTTCCAAACTTTGTAACTTCACCTCACTATTAAGATTTAAAAAAATATTTTCAATAATTTCATGGTATTATGAGTAGTATTTCTCTTTGTCCATATCAATCCTGTGTGATTCCTATATCTGTTAATGTTTCAGTCCCTTGCGACAATGGCTTCTAATAACGACGGTCGAGTTGTCTGCCCACGAACAAGAGAAATCTACAAGCTAGATGATATCGACAAGGTGTTTGTCATGTGATGAGTGTCCCATGACAGAGAAAAAGGCACTGCATGAAAGACGACCATGTGATGTAGATAGATAAATAGTGTTACAGAATGTAAGAAAGAGGCTGGTTCTGACTGATTTTAGCTTGCCATCACACATAGAACCAAGTAGAATGGTGTAGATACTCCATGTGAGATGACGACTGATTATGTACGTGTAAAGCTGCATCTTTTCTGTGAAAACACTCCAATCTTAAAGCTGAGCGCTGATTGGTCAGTGAATCTTCACTCTGATCGTGAGTTACATGTCAAGTGACATCAACTGTTCAATGTTGTCTTTGGTTAACAATTGCTTATGAATGCCGGGATGTATGGCTTAATTCATTTAGAATTGCAGTCTTGATAAATGTTTACATATTTGTGAATTTTTTCCAGATATTGTTCCCAATTTTATTAAAATCAGATAGTTTACTCTTAACTGATACCTTTTTGTTGAAAGATCTCCAAATGTCTCCATCACAGGTCACATCACACTAACCGAGAGAGATTGATGACGGCTTCATTTCCGTGAAGTAAGCATGCATTCTTGAGCCAAAGGGGCAGTGGGGTAGCCTAATGGTCAAGGCATTCGCTCATCATGCTGAAGACCCGGTTCGATTCCCCACATGGGTACAATTTGTGAAGCCCATTTCTGGTGTCCCCCGTCGTGATATTGCCGGAATATTGCTAAAAGTGGCGTAAAACTATACTCAGTCAGTCAGTCTTGAGCCAAATGAATCTAAAATGATTCAGATGTATTTGGTTGCATCATATTTTTCAATTTAAATTTTAACAAAAGAGAACACGCAGAGAACAAACAATCCTTGTATGTACTGAGAGAAAGAAAACGGCTGCATATGACAATATAACCTTGATAGTACACCCGGTATGGGTGGGTGTTTTTGTTTACATTCAGAAGTGCCCCATTCATTTTGGGTCTGGATACCAGGTCACTTGGAAATGACCAGTGTAGAAAATATATGTCTCAGTGTAACAGTGCAGCCTTTATGATTAACAGTGAGAACTTGTTGATAGTGTATTGAGATGCAGAAATACGAATTCTTCAGTCATTGGACCAAGAATGTTGCAACCTCAGCGCTTTTTGGACAATGCATGATGTTTCTTGTGAGATGTCCTTGGATCTTCATACAGAAAGATATTGTACTGAAGATCTGATTTTAATTGGATTGATGCACTGTGCGAAATAGCCACTGGCCCGCTAGCCCGTGGCTAGCAAAATCCAGTCGGGCCAGTAAATCTCCATAGTCACTGGCCCGACTGGCTAGTGAATTTTCATGGGGTCACTTTGTAAATCACTCTCTCTGACTTGCTAACTTATAATACACTTTTAAATCATGCAAGATTATGACCGACTGGCTAGCAAGATTTACAAACTATTTCGCACACTGGATTGATGTTGTTCTGGTAAACATAGCAACCTTACTTGTCTTAACCATCTAAGGGTGAGACCAGTTGCGGAATCACTGAAAGTTGTGGTCAATAAACTAGTAGGATTTACAAGAAGTTCATGCAAAGTGTTGGTCTAAATGACCGATATGAGGTATGCATGGTATTTCATTTCAAGACACCAAAGGTACAAGAAGTACTTCTACACTGTCAAATTTACATGCATATTCATAGGTTATGGAGGAACGTTACACCTATTATGAAGTAACAATGTGTACCAGTGTAAAGTTAAAGATTTCACCACTATGTTAACAGTTCAAAGTCCTGTGATATTACTCTATCGAAAGATTCACCACTAACACATGTAAACAACCATTTATCATGAAAGAGAAGTGCGAAACCCTTTTCTGTTTATCATTTATTCAATAATTGAACTTCCCCATGACATAGTTCCAGAGATTTGAAGCAGTGCTGTTTACATAAGACCTCACTTCCCCATGACATAGTTCCAGAGATTTGCAGCAGTGCTGTTTACATAAGCACTCACACTTTGGGAAACAATGATCAAATCGTTACGGGAACATTACACAAAATATTAAGAGGAATTATACCCACGTCCATGATCAGAGCTTACGACAAGTAATTCCTTGACATATTGATCAGATCATGATTATCATGTTTATCAGAGTGTTTCTAAGTTCTGATAACACTACCTATTATATATGGTAAGTTACAACATTTTGATTTGACTATCTTAGTTATTGTCGATTGAAAATATAACTCTCAAAAGAAAGTGTATGTAATGTACAGGGAATGCATCCGTTTGTGTCTGACAAGAATGGTTGTGTCTTGTAGGTAAAGAAGTGCGATTGATTGTCTGCAATATGTGTAATCACCATTTTAATTCAGTCGAAGGACACTGGCTTGTTTGTACAACCTATCTTCCCTTCAGTAAATGATTTGATTTACAGTTAATGTTAGTTTCGTTCAGTTTAAGTGGAGTCTTCTAACTGATATTTAAGGCTCCAGGTGGCTTAGGGACAGTTCATAATTTATGGCTAGGGGGTGATGATGATTTTTATGGAGAAGCATGTCCAATGTGATTGAAAAGCCCTAAACTTTATGTAGTAAGTGACCTCATTTTATGTACCAAATTGCTGTCACCCCCCAACCCCCAAAGTACACGTGTACAAAATTTATTATCCCCCCCTTCCCCTTAAAATCATCAAAATCGGCATTTCTCTCCTCCCCCCAGCCATAAATTATGAACGGTCCCTTAGTTGTGTAAAACACTGCAATTCGCTGAGCAGAGTTGCCCCCCTTTGGTGTGCCTAATCTCCGTGATCACAGGTTCGAATCCCAGTTCATCCTGATTCTGTCTCTGTTGATGACATTATTCCAGAATTTCACCAAAGAAATAAACATCTGAGAATTGTTTCACGTCAGACTTTTCCCCCATACCAAGCTGACAAGTAGTGATAAAACTGAGACTTTTCTAAGTGGTATTAAACCAATTCTTAAACTTTGAAGACTAGTAAATCTTTTTGTGAAGCATGGCATTAAAAGTAGCAGTTTCATGTTTGGACAGCATCCTGAAAGGGTGTTCACTTCAAGTTAAATGCAACATGTGTGGATTTCTTGTCAGTAAATTTTGGGAAATAGAGAGAGATATTTACCAGTGTTTAGTCTTGATGCTGTGGGTCTAAGTATGAGCGTTTTGACATCCTTGGTGGTAAAATCTTTCATTAGTTCTGATGTGAATTCCAGACATACGACCATTGAAGATTTTGCCAAGATTTCTAATGCTGTATGTTTCAGGCGGTTAATGTGTTTTGCTTATCTCGACGATCGTCCAGGTTCGAATCCCACATTGGTAGAGAATATGAAGCCTTTTTCTGTCCCATCTTGATATTGCTTGAGTGGCAAGCATTCAAATTGTGATTATATTCCATGTCGAGACAATGTGAATATGTACACCAACTCGACACTATTTGTAACAATGGATGATGATCAAATATGTGTTCTGCTTGTGTTTATTGCAAGATTCAATATTTCTAGACAGGCTTCTTGAATGTGTCTTTCACAGAGATGTTTTAATTCTGTATTAAAGTTTTTTGTTCCTTGTCTGTTCAGATCATCAGTGCCACCAAATGAACTTGTCTATTTTCACCTCCCAACTTTCATGCCAGATTTGCTTGCATGTGTTTGTATGTGTGCTTGGCAAAGATGAACATGTACCATAATATATACTCATGTATAATAAAGCAAGACAATGTATATGAAACCCATCGTTGTCTTGTTTCCAGTATGTTGACTCATGATGACATGGAATTGGCTTTAATGTTGTGTGAAAGATTATTGCACATATTGTGCAACGTGCAATGTGTTTGTGTGTCTGCTTATAGAAGTCTCGACTAATGCAGATTTGGTACTGCTAGACCACTGGTTGGTTGCTTTTATTTAACACCGCACTCAGCAATATTCCAGCTATTTGGCGGCATACTGTAAATAATCAAGTCTGGACCAGACAATCCAGTGATCAACAGCATGAGCATTGATCTACGCAATTGGGATAAGAAGACGTGTCAACCAAGTGAGTGAGCCTGACCACCCGATCCTGTTCATCAGCTTTTACAACAAGCATTGGTTGCTGAAGACGAATTCTAACCCGGATCGTCACGGGTATAGTCCGCTGGATGCTCCACTCACAGTATACTGGCTCCTAATGGACTAGTCCTTGTTCATTTCCCTTTATACTGAGCATCAGGCTGGGTACAACAATTACTGTCTTTGATTGCTGATTGATGCTGCACTCAGCAAAATTCCAGATATCTAATTCCGGGCCTGATTGGCATCACGGTCATCGATCTATGAAATTTGAGTATGAAGACCTGCATCAACCAAGTCAGCATGTTGAGGTTTTTTTCAATATAAGGCCAGGCCAATTTTATTTCTTGTTTTACGGATTTTTGTCACCAGTCAAAGTAATATTCATTCTAAATACTCAAAGTATTTTACTTTTGGCAATTTATGAAGTGTATATAGAGCAAAAAACATTTGTCTTGTGAGTTTACAGTTTTGGCCAATAAAAACCAAAGGATTTAATTTTTTGAGCGGGGAAAATGAAAAAAATTTCTTCTTATTCTTAATAAAATACGACAGGCGGATCCGTAAAACAAGAAATAAAATTGGTCTGGCCTAATTTAGGTTTCATAACTTATCTGAGTAAAACATCTGAAATTAATGAGATTGCAGTGAGCAACACAGACTCTGGTTGGTCAGACTTACTCAAAAGATTGGCAGTTGCTCATGACATCAACCACTGGGTTGTGTCTTGACTTATTTTAACAGGACAGAATCAAAGAGCCTGAATATACAGTGTGCATCAGTAAACAATAAAAGACAACACAAACATTGTGCTGGAAAGTAGGGGCAATTCTCAAAACTTGCTCATTACAAAACACATTCAAAGAAGTACCGGTAAAAGTATTTATTTCTCATTGAACAATGTTGAAACTGATGAATATGACCATTCATTATAATGATTTGACATCTTGACATAAAATGAAAACGATACAAAGGTGTCTGAACTTATACAAAGTTACAGTTCAAAATCTCCCAGCTCAATAAGGGTATAATACTACTCGGCTAATCTTCAAAACCAGTTCTCAGTGCTACAACAGGAACTGAATAAAAATGTAAACAGTAAACATTCACTCTTGGTTTTGCCCGTGTCACAGTCCCCGAACTGCATTATTTTCCCCTCTGCCCAGCCCTTTCTGCAATGGTAAACTTTAAATGAAGCAAGTCTAGATATCCTCAAGTTCTGAATCTATCGAAAGACGTATAATTATTCAGAGACTAAGTGTTAGTCTAGTCTTCATCAAGCAGGACAATCTACAAATTTAGAAGAAAAAATTAAAAAAAAGGTTTACACTTTCCCTCTGAAAAAAAGAGACTGAGCCTGACCAATTTCCTAGAAACATGATAAGTAGAAAAACTGGAGAGTGGAATATTGGGCACATTTCATTTCTTTGAAATTGATTTTGGTAGAGCAAAATGTCATAATAAGGATTGTACATATATCATGGTTTACATACAGGTGTTAAGCATACATCAGATGCAAAGTTCATCAATTAAAACTAAATTAAATTACAATTCAAGTAGACAACTTAATGAATTTATGACTAAAGACAGAGAACACGCTAAGGGACCATACATAATTTATGGCTAGGAGGGTGATGATGCATTTAAGGGGGTCGCACATTTTGTTCTGGGGAGGCAGGGGGGTCATCAATTTTGTACACATGTAATAGGGAGAGGGTGGTGGGTTGTTCATCAATTTTGTACATAAAAATATTACCCAAATTATGGGGCATTGATTTTGTACATGACATGCAGGTGGGGTCACTTACTTTGTACATAAATGTTGGGAGGGGGCATTCACATTGCACATGCTTCTCCATTAAAAATCATCATCATCCCCCAAGCCATAAATTATGAACAGTCCCTAAGATACACATTTTGCCACAATGAGGGTTCAGCAATACCCATCACCAACACTTCAAGGGTTTGTATACACAGTGTTCCTCCATCACCATTGATCTCGCTGAGAATGCATTTGGTTGGTTTGCAGTGCTGCTGCTTTTCACCAATGAATTACACAAGGGCCTGGCCCAGTGACAGAGTAACAGGGGAGCACAAGTTGTTACATAACAAACAGTATTGATCCTCACATGACATGTGCCAAAGTGCTTCATCCATCTGGATTTATCAATGCCAGAATATCCTGGAATGATGGGATCCTACAATGTCTGTGTATGGAGTTATGGCTCTTTCCATCTTCAGGAGTTGTATGCAGTTTATTTTTATACCAACAAAACGTGCAGATAAAGCTAAAGGTTACGAGATTGTTGATTTAAAATATTAATTACATGGTCATGTGTTCCAGCTAAACAAATTAATGATCCCCACAATCTGTATGTTTTGATTGGGCTCTTTATCATCTCCTAGAGTTGTATGAAGCCTCTTTCAATAGACACAGCAGTCTTGTATATTCACACTTAAAGACGGAATGCAGTGTCATCAAGACTGTGAAGTATGGATAATAAGTGAGTGAGTGAGTTTTACGCTGCACTCAGCAATATTCCAGCTATAGGGCGGCGGTCAGTAAATAATGGAGTCTGGACCAGACAATCCAGTGATCAACAGCATGAGCATCAATCTGTGCAATTGGGAACCGATGACGTGTCAACCAAGTCAGCGAGCCTGACCACCCGATCCTGTTAGTCGCCTCTTACGACCAGCATGGGTTACTGAAGATCAATTCTATCCCGGACCATCACGGGTTATGGATAATAAGTACTCTCAGGTATTTTCGTCACGATATGACTGAGTGAGATATTGCCGATGTGACGTTAAATAGAAACTCACTCACTCACTCAGGTATTTAGTTACCACTTTTATGAAACCTACAAGCACAAGTATGAAGCTGACACATTTAGGGGAACCAGAACCCAGATGCCCTGTTCTTTTCAACACTGGCTCAGATGAACAGCATGTTCTCTTTTGAAAAAAATTGACGTAATAAAACGTTATAATATATGACAACAATATGTTTTGATATATATGACCAGAGGCTGATATATTTCATGACAACTTTGGCGAAAATAATTGCAGATGTATGAAAATGAAGTAGGAATCTACATGCGACATTTATCACCATGTGTCATGATCTTCAGGCATATTTTTTATCAAGCCTTGAATTCTTCCCAGCACAATTTCATTTGTACTGCGGCAGTTTTCAAACCCATATGGTGGCTCAATAAAGAGAGCATCTGCAATTGTCAAAATGTCTCCATCAACTGTAACTGGAATCCGATTCTTTTCCAGCCATGATTTTAGCAAGAGCTGTCTTCTCTTCATTTCGTCAGGGGTCAAAGCCAAGGCTGAAGCTGGCCTGAACAGCTGATCAAGTTGAACTCTATACAGTTCTGTATTGTTATTGATAACAGTAATCTTTGACACAGTGCTGCCTTTAATGATGTCAACGCTAACGTTGCCATCTTGATCAAACTGAGCCAGGACAATGGTTTCTGAAACTGGGTCTATAGTAAACACCCAGCCTGTATGTTCTGCCCCACCCTCATCCAGAACTGTGACTTGTTTATACACAAACTGCATCCACTCTTCAGGATCCTTTTTATAGATGGCGTGAACACTGGTATCACCCTCCATCATTAATCAGAGAGTTGCACAAATAAGTCTTCAGCGATGAGGTGTATGAAGAACCAGAACTTGTACTTAAGTGATATTCAATGGTTCCAGTAAAACCAACAGGATGATGAATCTATAACAAGAACAGCCTCAATGTCCTAATTCAAAATTGTTCAGTTTCTTGTATTTCTGCAGTAACTCAGTCTTCAACGTCAGCTGCTTACGGAGCACAGCAATCTTTTTCAATTGTTCGTCTTTGCTTGTTTGGATGCCAGAAAGTTTATCAACACTTTCTCGAGCTTTCTGCAGCTGGTTTTAAGATCAGTCATCTTTTGATTCACATCATGGGAGTCCTTCTCAATACTGAAGAAGAGAAAACACACATTTTTAGTGTAACATCAATACCTATGGGATTTGTGTTACTCCCCATTACTGGATAAGCTGATACTAATATCATAAAGTGTTAAAATGCAGCATTCACTCGTCATGCCGAAGGCCCGGGTTCGATTCCCCACTTTGGTACAATGTGTGAAACCCATTTCTGGTGTTTCCCGCCGTGATATTGCTGGAATATTGCTAAAAGTGGCGTAAAGCTAAACTCACTCACTCACTCCTGTTAATGTGAAATGCAAAGCACTTCCTATCCGAAAATAATCATGAAGCTCTTTCAGGTTATTTAAGTTGAATCAGCTGTTATAAAATAGTTTGATGCATCATATGCCATTCTGTGATTTAGATTTTCAAGATTTTACTCTTTAAAGTAAGAGATCCTCCCGTTCCCCCTTCCCAAATAATAGATATAAATTAATATATGCTAAAATTATTAACAAAACTTTTACAACAATTACTAGAGAACTCACAAACATGACTAAAAGTCCAAAATTTATGTTAGGGTTAGGTTTAGAGTTAGGTTGGGGGAACGGAAGGAACTCTTTCCCTTTTGAACATCTGATAAATGGTCATTGCAAATTGTTACCATTACAGCTAATGAACAAACATTTCTTCGACAACCCATTCAATGTGATAAATACATAAATTATATTGTGTTGCACTGTACTACAGTCTGTAGCACATTTGATAACTAATACGTCGATACCAACAAACTCACAGATGAAGCTCACAACTGAACATTACGTGTTCGTTAACTTTTGTTTAATATAAAATACTACTAGTTACACGTGTTGCGCTTAAACAAATAAACGAAAGAAAATAGTATGGGCATTTTAATGAATCACTTATAGTAGAAATATAATTTTTGAACCGCCTATGGGAAAAGATTATAAGATAACAGAAGTCCGTGGTTTTATCAAATGCACTAATGACGTAAACATTCACCAGAGACCATATAATAGATTATGTGGTCTCTGCATTCACACATTATAGTCTGTTGTGGTGTCCTAACGCAAGTGATACGTTTGTTTGCGAAACCCAAATGATCCTATATTGATACAATGTCTAGTTGGCATTTACGAAACAACATTGTCATCTTCAGACATTTGATATTACCTTCGTATTACATCATAGATAGCTGGAAGCAAATTCAGTTCATTTTCAGCGTAACTTGCTGCCATTGCTTTACAAAATGTTTCACAAAGGTTCAGCGTGCTCCATTCTCTACTTGTTGTATTATCTCCCTTTATCACTTCCGTCGATTATCATCCGGACAATTCCAAGAATTACAAAAACCGGACCAAGTGCTATTTACTGGATATGATTTATTAAAATGCGTTAAAAAATCTTATCGATTTACATACATTATCTGCATGAAATATCCACACGTTCCCAAGCCTTTGGATCTGACAAAACAAAGAGTACACTAATGTGCAGTGACCTCCGCTTGTCAATCAACAAAAAGCGCTGGGCCAAAGGTTAGCTTTGCTCCCAAGCTTATTAATCAATTTGTCACACTGACCTTGAAACAAATTTGTCCTAAACAGCCCAATCAAATCTATAATAGCTGGCAAGTCTAGATAACCCTATTTTCTGAAAATGGAGCGATCGAGGTTTGGGGCTGCTTTATCCCTATACTTTATTCAGATATATTTTTATCTGTTAGTTTCTGTAAAATATTTACGTTTCAAAGACTACATGTTAGTTTACACTTAGCTCTGAAATCTCAGTAGTTTAATATCAACACTGATTTTTATTTTTAGATATGGATTGCCAACCCGTCAGGAAAATATGTGTTTCTACAATAACGATACAGACAAATGCCTGTCTATCAATGTAGAATACTGGTTCTTCAAAATATAGCAATTTGAAGCGTTGTTTTATAAACAGTTTTATAAAACAGGCTCATCATATTTCCAGAGGTATTAGTTTGAAAAACACTGGTCAACGATGAGGACAAATTCTGCCCCTGATTGTTTTGCACTACGTTATAGCTTACACATTTATTTTAGAATTTACTTTTGAAATGGTGAGTGAGTATAGTTGTACGCCGCTTTTAGCACTATTCCAGCAATAACGCAGCAGGGGACACCAGAAATGGGCTTCACACATTGTACCCATGTGGGGAATCGAACCCGGGTCTTCGGCGTGAGGAGCGAACGCTTTACCCACCAGGCTATACTACCCCACCGCCCCAACTTTTGAAATAAGGACTATTACCCGGCTTCTGTCTGTGCCCGAATCGTTGATGCTTTGTAGGCCGTCTGGTATCTTCCCTGGACCAGCATTTACACCACAGAACGAGTTGAGTTGATGCGTGCCTAACAAAAGAACCAGGTGCAGGGGAACCTTTGACTTACCTGAAATGTGGCATTAAATTCCGTTATGATAGATTTCGATACATTGTCCGAGTGAGCCCTTGGTGTTTGGGTGCAACGCGATATCTTGATATTGTGGAACATTGGATTTCGGGTACAAGCAATTTTCCAGCTTTATGGCGAAGTTGAATAAGCATTGAATTTCGGATGCAAGACGACATCTTGATCTGGATGAGCACCGGGTTTACAGGTGCAAGACAATGTCGTGATCTGTATGAGCACTGCATTTGGGGAGCAACGCGATGCCTTGACGTAAATCTGAAGATGTTGTATGCAGAACAGTATTGTGGCCGTCTGTGTAGCATTTTAGCCATATTGATCATGAGTTTGAGGGGAGGGGTCAGCGCATTCTCTGGCACGTAGAATGGACGCTGTTCTATCCAAATCGCGATATCGTCGACGACTGGGCCACCTGCATACATTTTACATTTATCAATGGAAATGAAAAATAAATAAGTCAATTTCATTTTCGTCATACGTAAATGTGCAGGTGCCAAGCACAAAATGATGATGACTTAACTCACATGGCCAACGGATATATCAATAAAATGGATAGTAAAATAAATCTGCCTTTCAAACTAAATTCGACATGGCATTTCACAGCTGAAGTTTAATTGAATAGAAAACACAACATTTGTTTTCTTCACTCTTGTGTTTATTCTTGAAACTGTCCGCGGATCACGTTCCGCGTCTTCGAACGCTCACTCCCAGAGTGTCAAGCTGTCGATCGATCTCTTCGATCCTCAACATCCGCCGTGAAAATGGCCGTGCTGGATCTATTATTCAGTGAAATTCGAGCTTCAGGCGTGTCCACCTCGGAATGAGAATATTATATTAGCTTTAAATATTATTCATTTACACGCAACGTGAAGTTATCGTGACATACTGCGACAGGAGAAGCCTGCTGCTTTTCCATTTGAGAGCCCGAGTCGATTGCTTGGGTGAGCAAATGCAGAAGTTCAACTTAAACAAATTAACTAATCTTGTCACTTGCTGAGATTACTAGAACACAGTTGAAGGTTTGATTATTTCTTCTTGCCTGAAGGAGCCCTTACCCATTGTTTGGTTATCAGATTTTGTTTTTGTTTTTTGTTTAACGCAACACTCAGCAATATTCCAGCTATATGGCGGCGGTCTGTAAAATAATCGATTCTGGACCAAATCATCCAGTGATTAACAGCATAAGTATCAATCTATGTAATTGGAATACGATGACACGTGTCAACCAAGTCAGCGAGCCTGACCACCGATCCCGTTAGTCGCCTCTTACGACAAGCATGGTATCAAAATATAGCTTTATCCAAATCCTTGACGTTCTATTCAACCATAAAGACAGACTATTTTCTTTGAAAATATCTTGTAACTATTAGTTCAAGAGATTTACGGAGATGTTTGACAAAACCGCGTTGCAATGTACATGATTTTAATGTTAGTTCGTATAGATACTCCCAAAACTATGAAACTGCGTTTTGTACCTCCTGTGTGACTGAACTAGAAGATGAATTCCACATTACATTATTGTGTCCTCTTTACAATGAGTATCGTGTTAGATATTTACCTGAAAACTGTCGTAATTACCCTAATGTTTAAATGTTTCTTAAACTAATGAGAACAAGGGACAAGAATAGACTCCTAAGACTTTGTATCTTTCTTAAAAAAATGTTTGTACTTCGATCAAAACAAAAAGTCTCTATGAACACATAAGCATATTAATTGAATTAATAAGATCTATATTCTCAGTGTGGCGCATATACATGTTTTGTCTACTTGTTTTACACATGCAGCACTGTTGGCCTCATGGCCATAAATGATGATGATAAATGATGATGATAATGATGATGATGATGATGATGATGATGATGATGATGAAGGTTGCTGAAGACCAGTTGCTACCTGATGTAAAATTTAACCTGTTTAAACCCACCTGACTAACAGTCTAGCGAACATATGCCAGGACCTGTTTGTTCGTCGTCCGGCGTCCGGCATCCCGCGTCCGGCGCCCGGCATCAGTCGTATGCATCTTCTCAGAAAACCGGTGAAGCTGGAACTTTACATAATACTCACTAACGCTGATATCCCAATTTGTTCAAATAGTTCGAATACCAAATCTAATATTGCAGCAAAAATGAAAAAGAATATTTCAAAATGTCATGGAGTCTATTACACTTGCAGTTTCTAGTAGGATTCAACGTACATTTTCCAGTTTTTTCTTCTTACGAATTTTAAACTTCGACCTTGTTTTAACCTTTGTTCTTTTACCATACTTTTCACATTGACCATGCCCTCAAATCCTCTCAGAATGCATTTCTTTACAGTATAATCGTTACCTCCTCAGAGGCTACTCAGTGCCCTCACGTTATGACTATTCCCACTATACTTAACAAGGAGGTAAAATGACCCTACCGACAGAACATCCTCGGTAATCTCCAGGGTATACGTTCCGATAAATCCCACTCCACTGGAGATTTATCGGAACGTAATCCGGAACGTATACCCTGGAGATTATCCAGGATGATAGAAGTACTTCAGTCGCGACTAGTACTCAGGATATGCACGTATTATTTGTTTTATTTTCTTTATTATATTTGTTTTAAAACGCACGAAACCTGTCTCTTATATGTAATGGGTGTTTTGCCCCGATAAACATACGGGATTTGAAATTATACACCTTACTGAAACCCAATTATAAGAGTAAATTAAAATTTATGAAAATCTCTGCTGCTCTTCGTTACTCCTCCTTATTTTATGTTTTAGGGTGAATTTTTAAAAGAACCACTGTATTCCAAAATGAATAAACGCTTTATCATATTTTGGTAATTGCATAAATGAGGAAATTTCCGAAAAACAACGAAAAATGAACAAATTACAAAATATGTTTTATCCCAGAAAGCGAAAAATTCAAAGAATCTTCTAAAAGGCTCGATGTACCATGTTGCCATGGCACCATAATCATCAGTCCTGCCAAACCTCTTGCTTGTCTTATGGAATGTGTTTGTGTATGCTCATATAGCACCACAAGTCGGTTTACGAGTTATAAAACATTGAATGACACTCATAACTTGAAAGGGATGAATTCATGAATAAATGAATAATGAACACTACAAGGAATCTACTTCCTCTCTTTCTTTTTTGGACTCGATCCAAATTCACACAGCGACAGGGTTTGGTTTGTTGTAATTAGCAGTCACTGAACCACGAAGTATGGGCATTGACACGCTAGTAATAATGGAAGACAACAATGTTTAATAGCAAGGAATTAAACTGACAAACTTGTCATGTAACTGCTTACGTTGAAACATTTCAATCATATTTTCTGTCAAGCAAAAAGCAATACATCACGAACAATGCCGCGTAAGGCCCAATGATAGTGCCGTAGGCGGTCTTTGCTTAAAGAAAACAGACGAGATAACTGCATGGCTTTGTAATGTTCAAATTTGCAATTTTCCATTTCATCTCACATATAGATCAACAACAAACTTGTTCCAAGTACAAACAGCACCCAAACTCTCTTACAAATATTCGATTCTAGTTGACTGCTTCGCCCATAATTATTGTTGATGGAATGCCCTCTACATTATGTACACTTGCAAACCAGTATTTTCCTTAAAGGCACAATGCCACCCATTTTCGACAATATTTTGGCCTATATTTTATATATTGGGGGCATATGCAATCACTTTAGCTTCCTATTGTTGTACTAAATACTGACTATGCCTTTCGACTTGCCTGAAATCGATAATTGAAACTTCGAGGCGAACAGCTTCCAAACAGAACACTTGCCATATATGGATGTAAACAATTGCTTCGTACATCGAAAACTGTCGCCCGCGGTGTCGTCGGTGTTTGCCGAACTGGTTTCAATCACAAGTTGGGTTATTGGAGGTTCGTGCGGTTTACTTGAACTAATGTTCGGCCGGTAGAGGGCGCGAGAGTCGATTTAATGCAACGTCCCTGATGGCTGATAGTATTATTGAGAGAAATGCATTATTCATTTTTAGAGAAATTTGGGATGACATTGTGCCTTTAACTGTAGTCAAAATGGTGTGTAATCCATATCGATCATTGTGCTGGTAAATTTGTGGAAAACCCCTCTACTACACCTCCACGGGTAACAAGAGAAATAGACCAATCTGCCTACTGCGGACTGTGGAACCGTTGAGGGCATCACAGAGATTCAACAGTAAATGGGACCATGCATTATGTGCATACTGAAAAATGATAAAAAACTAACCAAATTCTAAAATGAAAGCTCGAAGCAAGAAAGATAACTGTTTGAATGCAATAAGTTTCAGGAAATTATCATATAATCGCATTTTCAAATCACGGAGTTAGGTCACATACTTCTTCATACACATTATTAAAAGATGAGCTGATCTATTTCTGTAAATACTATTATTTGTCTTTAAAGTAAAACGTGTTGTCTCTAAAGTTGTCTACTGACCATTAACTACGGCGGGGTAGCCTAGTGGTTAAAGCGTTCGCTCGTCATACCGAAGACCCTGGTTCTATTTCCCACATGGGAACAATGTGTGGAGCCCATTTCCGGTGTCCCCCGCCGTGATATTGCTGGAATACTGCCAAAAAGCGGCGTGAAACTAAACTCACTCACTGTTACGACACGACGGTGTCCAGTGTAAGGGTCAACGCAGAACCTACTCCCGGTAACGCTGAATATACTCTGGCGACACCAGTGAGTGGCAGTGACCACACTGATGGAATCCGTGCAAATTCCGACAACTGGCCATCAACTATGTTGTAAGAAAACACGTAAAGTACAATTTTGTTCCCTTAAGCTACCCCGCCCATGAATTTAGTTTGGACCTTGCGAATGGACGCATCAGTCATTACTGTAGCTGTAGCTGATTGAGCGAGCGAGTGAGTTAGTTTTACGCCGCTTTTAGCAATATTCCAGCAATATCACGGCGGGGGACACCAGAAATGGGCTTCACACATTGTACCCATGTGGGGAATCGAATCCTGGTCTTCAGCGTGATGAGCGAATGCTTTAACCACTAGGCTACCCCACCGTCCCGAGTAGCTGACTGAAACTTCTGAAGCAGCCTGGTTCCCTGGGTCTGTTGCGCCTGCAACACTGAGTGTCGGAGCGTAGCGCAGGCGCAACAGACGCAGGGAACCAGGCAGCTTCAGAAGTGGTTATGTAAATGTCAAAAGCACCATACTGAAACCATCAGGTCCCTATTGTTCCCTAATACCCGCAGGCGTCAGTGTCGTTTTAGTGGTGGAGTGATTGTGAGCCATATGTCCTTGGAATCCTTGAAGAATTTAAAGAAGATTGACAAAGGTCTGTGAGAGGCTTGATATACCAACGCTTTGAGCAGCTTATTTCATTTCCATCCGTCAATGTTGTTGAACTAACCCCCCAAGGTAGGCATGTTAAACACTCTCACATCGAGATGCATGGCTGTTATACATACAAACACAACCGTTATGAACCCAGGCCAGAGTATAGGTCCCCAGAATCTTATGCTTGTTGGAATGGATCGGGTGGTCGGGCTTTGGTCATTGTAAAACGACGGGCGTTTGCATAAGTTCATAATTATTCAGAGCCACAAAGACAAAAACGTCTTCACCAATGCCATTCATATATAAACACGATTTTGGTATAAATACGCTAGAAAGCTCTTTTTCATACCAGCAAACCATTAGTTGATAAGAACTTTATAAACATATTTTGAATTGATTTTGTTCACTTGACGGATTTTTTCATGTAAGACATCCGAAAAATAAATGTTAAAAACGAGATTGGCCTTGAGAATCATTTTCTTATTCAACAGCAATACTGCTGAAACTGTCGGTTGATGGCGGCTTCACACAAAAGAATAAATTCTATGATGAACACAGTCCGTCAAAAAACAGCATACTAGTAAACGGTATAATATCATTATTCTATTTTCTTTTTAACATGTGTTGCGTATCTTCAGTAGGTCGTTTTGGTGTGTTACTAAAACATACTAAAAGATAACAAATAATAATTGTGAAAATTATTTAATTAGATAAACAACATCTTATGCATATGTGTGCATTTCAATATATCACAGAAAATGTGAATAATATAAACGTAGTAATACTGGCTTTATAATACTTCGTTTCCCCATTTGTCTTTGAATATGCATTCGATAAAGTGAACCAATACAAACTGGACCTTCACGGACATAGACACATTACATGAATCATCACAATCTGCTAGAATCTGTCCAAAATATGAATCATTAGACATTGAACCTTCACTGACATGCGAACCGATCCCTCCCCCACACCCTAAAAAAACGATCTCAAACAATCAATAGTTCATGATGTTCAAGTTCTACCTTGAATGTTTAAGTTGGAGTGCCCCGTGGTATCTTCAGTCCGTGTGATAAAAAATACGACATTGACAATAAAAATAAACTTCATCGAAATTACACGAAATGAAAGAAATTCTGAGTTCTTTCCAGAAAATTATAAATGTCATTTTCCAAAGTGACAGACATTAGTGGACAGAAATTATACCAAAGAGGATGGAGACTTGTTTGTTCCAAAAACTGTTCCTTGTCGAAAACAGATCAGCTTGAAATATCTCACGTGACCAACACAGCCATGTGTATTCCACTAGAATTTCAAGGAAATAAAACGAAATCTGATCTTATGAAAACCGAAATATCACGAACACATTATATCAACTGCACAGTAATACATGACCATTTCAAGGGAGTATCAGAATAGTTCCTGTTTGTACAACGAAACTCGAAACTGTACATTTAGACTGTGTTTCAGTTAACCATAACATATTATTAATCCGCACATCTCAAACACTAAGGCAGGACTGAGATTAACGGGTTCGTGTCTTACTTTGAGAACGATCCTTGTTTTCATCAGTCCCATGCGCATGTGCATTTCCATGAAAAACCCAGAACAGGAAATTATTCCGAAACGTAACTTGATTCTGTGACATCTGAGTTGTTTTATTGTTTCATTACGAAAGCATAATTAATAAATTGACATCGAAATCCGCGTTAAAAAAACCATTAAATTTACACGCACAAATAAACAAGGACTATATCTGAGACCGTCTATGGCTAGGAGGCCTGGGGTCAGTGAAGGCGGCTCCAAACCGATTAAAGGTATTGTTCACTACAGGTTCGCTCTTTCTATCATAAGGTGGGTAAACTCGCTTCAGAGCATTATTTGAGTATCTCCATGGGTTGTGTTCTAGGAAGGGTTCCTGTGTCACAGCTAAATCATGAAGAGCTGTTCTATAGGGAACTTCCGGTGCCTTGAACCAGCAGGGTGTGGATGTTTCGAGCTTAATACTTCCTTCCTGGGGTTCTTTGTAGGCCTTCGGGAATCTCCGGTGAACTGGTGGCTCGTTGGTCGGTTTGCCGAGAAACGAAGCTGTGTATAAGCTGTTCTGATCCACTTGTATTGGGTGCATCGTTTGGTGGGAGAGAAAGCTATTGTTGGTTTCATGGAGACGACGATCAACGTTGAGAAGACGTCGTCCAAGAAGCCGTGTTTCGCGACCCTTAAAAACCAAAAATATAATAATAATACATAAGAGTGAGTATGGTTTTACGCCGCTTTTAACAATATCACGGGGGTTCACACGTTGTACCCATGTAGGGAATCGAACCCGGGTCTTCAGAGTGACGAGCAAACGCTTTAACCATAAGGCTATCCCACCGCCACTTCTAAAAGAACACAAGGTACATTGATATATGTTTATAAAGATCACGCTTAAGATGTAATCAGTGGGCAGTAAGGCAGAGGCGTCACAGTATAAACGTTACACCTGCAATTTTCAGTTAAGTTATGCAGTACTATCGATTGAGAAGGAACGTTGTGCAATGGCCTTGACCTCGGGGAGGTGACTTGGGAATTGTAGGTCCATGATCCAATTTAATTAGGGACACAACTAATTACCCTTATTGTCCGAAGATATCCGACAAGCTGCGTAGGTGACTTTCAGTTTTCTTGTCATTTTATTTTCAAAGCAAATAATGCGCAATGCTGATATGGAAAAACGAAAACATTTCAACGCTATAATTTTTCAACGCTGAAATAGTGTGACGCTAGGAATAGTGCCGCTCGACACTGGACGAGTATACAACACGTTGCTGTGAATGGTTTCTAGTTAGACGTTAACAGACTCATTAAACAAAGGGATATGGATTGTGACTGCCATTTATGTTACAAGTATAACTGCTGGTCAACGGAGATACCAAAATTTTAATGAATATCCGAACATGAGCAGCTTAATCTAGACTAAAACTTAGTCTCGGGATATATATAATTTTAATAGAAACAAAAATCCCTTTTAAATCGAAAAGGAGCCCTAATGAGATGGGAGATTCTGAGGAAATCTAGACTTGCTTCATTTAGGGCTTAAGCATTGCTGAAAGGGCTCGGCAGAAGGGAACATAATGCGCAGTGACTGTGAGACAGACTAAGCATATTCAGACTGAGATGTGGTCACGTAAATATGATAATCTTACTTGAAAATAAGTATCTGAGAAATAAAATTCAAATAGGCCACAACAATGCATAATTTAGGAATTGATGTAATTCAGACATGCCAATTCGTTCTAAATTGGACTTAGGTTCAATTTCTAATTTATGTTCTGGGGTCAAGCTACAGCTAAATGTGTAGCATAAGGGACCGTTCATAATTCATAATAATAAGGGGTGTGATGATTTTAAGAGGGGGTCACTCATTTTGTTCTGGGGAGCTGGGGTGGGGGGTCATCAATTTTGTACACACGTACTAGGTGGGGTCAGCAATTTTGTACATAAAAGTATGTTTAAAATTATGCTTAGAAATTATGGGAAGGGGGGGGTCATTGATTTTGTACATGGCATGCAGGGGTCACTTATTTTGTACATAAATTTTAGGGGGGGTCATTCACATTGTACATGCTTCTCCATAAAAATCATAATCATAAACACACACACACACACACACACACACACACACACACCCCAGCCATAAATTATGAACGGTCCCTAACTATACTAATGATTGTCGATGTTTCACGTAAACAAATATTTTCACAGTGATTTACTTAGTTTTCATTTGGTTCGATATATTTGTTTAGAGTTTTGGTCAAATTCACCTCGTTAAAATAACAATCAGTTTTGGTCAAACAATTTGATCCGGCTTTTTATCTCGACCAGGAAACAGGTTTGTGATCCTTGAACTCATCCCTGTGACGTCATATCAGCGTCTTTGTCCGCTTTCTAACCAAACAATAGTATTGGCCGTTTAGTTGAGTCACGTGATAAAAGGTAATTTGTTAGTGATATACGACCAGGACTTTTGACAGTGAAGGGCAAGATTGGAAATATATAGCCAAACATCTGTCATCTGTTCTGCCCCCTATGAGAAACAATGACTAAGTTAAAGATTTTCTATATCTGCTGTTCAACAAAGAAAATCCCATTTAGTCTTTGACAATCTAAGCTTGTTTTGTTTCAGTACCGATTACATTAACAACTTTATAAAATAACGATTTAAAAAATGTGATTGTATGAACTTCATTACAAATTGAACTCAACGTTTCATTTATAACTGAATTTGTGACAATTTCATTGATCTCGCATACTGTGGCTCACACGGAAGTGTAACCAGCATCTCCACGTCGTATGCTTTAAACATTTATTTCCAAAAGTGGAACCGGATTTGTAAACAAGCAGTATGCTTATCTGAATACCAGAATATCCAGTAGAACAATGAACTGATATCAGAACAAATTCGAACTTACATTCCCGAGGTACACTCCGTGATCCTGAAAGGCGTTTCTGTTGTCATGGTTACTGAACCGGTTAGACTTCTTGTAATTCACCTGCCAAAACAAAAAACACAATGGAGTCAGTTTAACAAACGAACCGTATCTGAACCGGTTAGCAATCGACAATTGAACCTCAGATGCCAACGCCGCGAGCTGAATGACTTTAAATTGATGCGTGCACCATACAAAGAGAATTGGCGTAACTTCAGACGCCCTTCCTAGTAAAACCTCCTTATTCTGGACCCCTTAAATAGTAAACCACGAGTTTCAGTCACTTAACTGCCATATGGGGTAGCAAACAGTGGTTATAAGCACAGCCCAGTGATACGAGTAAAAATAGGAAAGTAAAAATAATCACTCCTGCTTTGTCTGATACTTCTGTCACTTGAGGTTCATACATTTTATTATAAGGTTTATGGCTATACAAGTTCATATAACGATACTTTGTGTTGATCTGTAGCGAGAGATTATGGCCGGATGTATTGCATGTGTATTTGTGTTTCATTTTTTAATTAAAGGTTTTCAACTTAAGTATCACTGTTTGTGCTTAATGATGTACATTTTACAAACCGTTAAAGGTTACTTTTCCAAAGCTTGAGCTCAATTATTTGTTCCGACAAAGAGGTGCTCAATTTAGTTTTCAGTCAAATAAACCAATTATATTCTTTAGAAGAAGATGGGCCATGATGGGTTTTTTCTATTATGCATAGCAAATGAACCATTATTTCAGTAAAACGGGATCCACTTTTGTTTTAAAATACCCAGGTTTCACTGACAACGTGGCAGTGAAATTGATCTGATGTAGAAGTGAAAAGCTGAATTGACTAAAACGAAACGAAGTCGATATGTTCGAAATCAAACGTAACCGCAAACACTGCAAATAATTGTTTTAGATATCATGGTGATAAAATATTGTATAATAACAATACATCACGGATTTGATATTTATTCATGCAGTTTAAATTCGTTCATTATTTAGTTTCCATAGTGAATGAAAAGGAAAGGAAAACGTGTTTTTAAATTTTTCACAGAATTTAGATTATAGGTGCTCGTTACTTCATTGTCTATTTCAACTACAACTCTGTTTCCTTAACTCGCATAGCTGGGTTCTCATAATGGTGATGATGATGATGACGATGATGATGATTTAATGGTGATGATAATGTAAGGGCATTCACTCCAGCTATGTATTCAAGCGAAGAAACTAAATGGGTTTGAACTTCCTGAATTCCTATAATTACTCCACCCGGAGACCCAGTGTTATTTAACACACTTTCCTAAATAACAAAAGGCTTCAGCAGAAGCCATTAGCAGAACACTTGCCCTAACAACTTCCTCAAAACCGATACCCAGCTTAAAGACTTCTATTACTAAAGCTTTAAGCCAATCAACATGTTTAAAAGGAATTTTAATCTTCGCTGCCTGTTGTACAATGTACCTCAAATAATGCATATTTCTCACGCAAAACAGTATCCATAGAAACCGACTCAATTTTTGTGTTTTTAACTAAAATATAGATCTTAAAATGTTAATATGGTGTTTTACATTTGCTTTGAATATGTTTTCTTAAAAACACATTTAAGCGACAGAGTGAAATTCGTGCCAATCTCGGTTTATAATCGTGTTTATCTTGAAGGACAATGGACATATTTTAATCTTAAATGTCATGGTAAATGTAGAGTATTGGTGTCACGGTGGTTTTAATATCCCGAACTAACAAATGAGTCGAACAAACAAAGCGTTTCAGCTTACAACGTCAGAGTCGCCAACAGTGGGTTTAGTATTAACAGCCTGTCACGGAATCATGGTACATTATGTGAAAACAACAGGGAGCGGTGTGTTTTATTAAAAAACTAAATTCTAAAAAGTGGATTTACAAAAGAGCGTCAGTGTTTGATAAAATAAATAGTACAGATATCAAATCAAATATACTACCCATCAAAAGTTTAGACTCACTTAAAGCACTCACTATATGTTACATATATACATATGGTTACATTGAAGATGAATTTCTCCACTAACTTGGGGGAACTAACTGCAAACCTTATGCAGATGAATTGCACGAGGATCATGCATCAAGTTGCTGAAAAGCATGTGCAAATATCTCACATGTCAACAGCTGCGTTTTGGTGTAAAATTTTGTTAAAGGTCACATAAACCCTAGGGGGTACAAATACATAAATCACTGACTGGCATCGTTATAAATGAAACCCCGTCATTAAAACTACTCATTTCGACCTTTAATTGACTTAAATCGACCTTTTTGACAACAGTGCACAGTTCTAACCCGCGAACGAAATTTCAACCAATCAGAGCGGCGCGCCTCTGTGACGTCATATGAGGAATAGCTTTGAGGGCCGATGCAGAATTCATCTACATTTTAGGGGTTAAATTATCTTGTTTACAGGCTTGTATAAACCTGAAATCGTGACAATTGTTGTGGAAAATTAAAGCTATATGTTCTCACAATCTACTGTCATTTAATTTTGTCTCCTGCTTTGCCTAGTTTCCGAGTTACAACTTGTTTTCATAGACGATTCTGTCAAAATCGATTGGTGTCGTTAGGCCCTATTTGTATAATGACTGATCCAAATTGATCCCATTTCTGTGTTTTTTTACCTCGATAATTAATCATGTCATGTAAAAATCTGTTTGTATTCTCAAACAGTGTCGGCCCATAAGTTTTCACATGCAATACAGCAATTAATACTCCCTTGTTGTAACCCGTGTTAGGTGGTATAAACCTCACACATGTTATTTGTCATCATTCACTTGATGGTCAGTTAATGAATTTATAACAGGTATAATTAGTGGTAAGACACTTAGATTACCCGACAAAGGTTCCCATTTGGCATTTCTTGTGTCTGGAGTAAATATTCAACATTATAAACATCGATCAAAGGATTAACCGATAACACGCTGATTGATTAATTACTTTTATCTTACACAGCGGAATTGTCAAAAGGTAGTGTTTATGTATGTAGATTTACTAATCTATACTGAATACACTCTGTCGTGTCGGTGTCTGCGTAAAAACAACGTCCTTCTTTCAAAGGATTAACCGCCAATACAGTGACTGATTGCTCATTATTGGCTAACTAAATTACCGTTTTCAAAGAATGGCGGACATTATGCAATCAGTTGCCAGGTGTGCTATCTTGGGTGACCAATGAGACTATACACCAATACCTGAAAAGATTTATCACTTTTTTGTATATTAAACTGTTCAAAGACACATCATTTGGAACAGTTTTGTGGATATTGATGGATACATTCCTCGAACAAGGTGATGGCCTGATATTGTTCCTATAACTTTAATCTGTTTTAATTTTAATATTTGCATTTTGTTTTTATTCATTTGTCGTAGCATTTAGCATAATCATTGTTTTCGCCTTGAAGTGTAATGAGACAGACAACATGCACTAGGGTGTGTGTGCGAATTATGATTCACATTGGCAAACTATAAAATGTCTAGATATTACAGTTCTGTTATAAATTCACTATAAGTATCAGCAGATCGTCTGCTTTTTATTTAGTTTCAAAATGCATACAAGTATGATAATAAACTAATTAGGATTATAAGACCAAATATACAGACGCACATTGACTAGTATCTACATACTGGTGATGGACATTAACCATGGGAATGTAGAAGGAATTTGTCGCGCAGTATTGTGACTTCGACCCCCACCTCGCTTCCGTGGAAGAAATCGTTATGTTATAAGTTGTGTCATGCAAAATCGGTTTGGTTATGATTCCAATACATATTTAACTACGAGTAGAAAGTAGTCTTGATTTTCTAACTTGATGAAAACAAACTATAATCTCATTAATTCTAACAGATTTTTATTTTTAAAATGGCGGCGATTCTGTCGGGAACATCCGCCAGACTGAGGATAAATGGTATTTAGGTTTGTTTTCACCGAGTTACAAAATGAAAACTACTTTCTACTCGTAGTAAAATATGTATTTTATTGATGGCCAATAGGATTTTGCATGACATAGCGTATAACATAACAATTTCTCTCGTGGCAGCGAGGTGGGTGTGAATATAATACTACTTACAATATTATTGTTACTTCGACCACAAACTCACTTCCGAGGAAGAAATCGTTATGTTACAAGTTGTGTCATAGAAAATTTGTATGGTCATCAATCATATGCATATTTTACTAGAATTAGTAAGTAGTTTTGATTCTTTAACTTCCGTGAAGCGATCTGAACACAAGTAAGATATCGTTTCAGGCTTCCACAACGCTCGCTTCGCACTCACAAACATAACCCATTTAGCACGAACTGCGGGGTCCTGTGGAAATCTGTGCATGGGGACACCATCGCCCGACCCCTAGGAGCAATTGACGACAAAGCAACGATTCGGCATGTCGTCGTTGATGTCGAGAAATCATCAAAATGATGAGCGTGCTACACATTTTCTATACAACTAACTGAAAATCGTTCCTCATATGACGTCACTGCAGTGCTCTGGCGACAGAGTTACGTAACCTGTCTGCGGTTTTGTTGGCGGGCGAGAGGGAGGCAGGCGACTTTTTGGCCACTTTTAATCGCTCGGTATTAATTAACCACAAGTTTTTAAAGAATAAATTTGGTGTTCCGCATAAGACTAATCACAAATCTTTCATATGTAATGGTTAAAAGAGTAACAAAAAAACAAAGTTTAGTGGTTCTTTAAGAATTCACCAATTTTCACAGTTTCATTATTTATTGAACTAATGACAATAATGGTTTCAATGTAACAAATTTGTTTTACAAGACATCAGTTCATGTGTAAACAGTACCTTTACACAGCATGGAATATTTTGCAAAATCTAGTTTAGAAAAGTTGACTTGAAGTAAGTGGCTACATTTACACCAGTGAGTCTAAACTTTTGATGGAAAGTATATAGCTAACAAAACAAATTTGTAGGCTGGCATCCATTTTCCATGTTTTCTCATTCGAAAATATTTACTCCCGCCACTGCCTTTTCTTCGAAAGACTCAATATCTGGTACTCTTTCGCATTCATTTTTTAAACTAAGTTCCAAATAATTTTTATGCTGGTGTTGGTTGATTTTTGACCACGAGGGTCACAAAATACATAAATATAATAACAACACACATTAGCTCGTCTAAAAGTATTCAACAACACACTTTCTCAAACATACTCTCTCTCAAACACACCCTCTCTCTCTCTCACACACACACACACTAAAACATCCACACACACACTCTCTCTCTCTCTCCTCTCAAACACACTCTCCAAACACACGCTCTCTCTCTCCTCTCAACGCTCTCTCTTTCTCTCTCCTCTCAAACACACACTCTCTCTTTCAAACACACAAATACTCTATCTATCTCAAACACACACCCTCTCTCTCTCTCTCTCACACACACACACACTAAAACATCCACACACACACTCTCTCTCCTTCCCTCTCCAAACACACGCTCTCTTTCTCTCTCCCTCTCAAACACACACACTCTCTTTCAAACACACAAACACTCTATCTCTCTCGCACACATACTCTCTCAAACTTTCACAGACATATACATAGACGCACACACACTCTCAACACACATACTCTCCCTCTCTAAAAACACGCACACTCAAATAAACACACATGCTCTCAAACACACAAATAGGCCTACTCTATCTCTCAAACACACAAATAGGCCTACTCTATCTCTCAAATACACACACGCTCTCTCAAACACACACATACTCTCCCTCTCTCAAACACACACTCAAACACACACACACAAACTAAGACAGTATGTTTCAGTGTATAGACAAAATATCGTACTTGTATCGTATTACATAACACCAATTATTTGCTTTGTTCATACGTATGTAGGCCAATAATACAGTGCTTGACCATGGCCATAATACACCGAAGTGAGGCCCCTAACGTGTATAACAAGTGGGGCTTAAACTGGATCAAAGCGTCACGATTCTCAACTTAACATTTGTATGAACGTGTTTGAGATGACATTGATAAAAAAGACCATGTTGCGAGTAATCCGTCCTTCTGTCGGGGGATTAGTTGAGGCAGTCGCCGGGTTCGCGAGCTACCTCTTCGACACGTGTAACAACGGCCCCGACTCCTGGTGCTGGATGCGCCATTGTGTGTGGGAGAAAGGAGGGAGAATTCCAGCGAACAGACGCGTTCTGGTTAAATAACTCCCTTAGAGGCGTATTGCCGTCACGGTCTGGTAAACTTTGGTCCAGATATTGTAACTCTGGCCCCGTGTAACAATGAGATGTTGTCTTTGTCTTGTGAGGGTAGCCACAAAATAAACTGCCGGCAAAAGAAGTATATAACGTTGCCTGTACATCTATATTAAATTCCAAACTGTAATTCTCTTTACCTATTTCAGATGTTTTACCTTTTTAATTCGGCCTCCCATTCAAATTACCCTTAATATTCAGTTGTTGGTTTGTTTGTTTGTTTGTTTTGGGTAGTAACACCACTCTTTCAAAATTTCTATTTTTTGTTCCCCCTCATTTCTTAATACGTGTACTACCCCGTCGCCGAAATACCTTAGTTGTGCGTGCGACTTTAAATAAAGCAAATAACTACTGCTATTCATGCGGGTATCGAAGCTGTAATTTGGACCTCATCATAACTGAATCTGGGACTTGGAGTTTGCAGTATTTATATATTTTTTTTACAGCTTTTGTAATTTTTAAAGTCAAATCCAATTTTCATGCGTATGCTTTCCTTTGTCGGACAATTTTGATTAGTGAGTGAGTGAGTTTAGTTTTACGACGCTTTTAGCAAAATTCCAGCAATATCACGGCGGGGGACACCAGACATGAAATTCACACATTGTGCCCAGCCCACGTGGGGAATCGAACCCGGGTCTTCAGCATGACGAGCGAACGCCTTAACCATTAGGTTACTCCACCGCCCCTTTGGCTCAAGAACCCATGCTTATTTCACGGAAATGAAGCCGTCATCAATCTCTCTCGGTTAGTGTGATATGACCTGTGATGGGGACATTTGGAGATCTTCCAACAAAAAGGCATCAGTTGGAAAGGTATCAAAAAGGACACCAGAAATGTGTGTACCCATGTGGGAAATCGAACCCGGGTCTTCAGCATGACGAGCGAACGCCTTAACCACTAGGCTACCCAACCGCCCCAGTTTTGATTAATAATCATCATAACAATTGAACGTTTAAACATAAAATGTTATGCTTGATGGGCTTAAGGGGCTGGAGTGGAGGTATTATTGGCCAAATGCGTGTTAACATAATAAGACATGCTATATATTTGGTCTAGACGGGGTGACTATTACTGACTAACAGGATGTAGCTGGAATATTGCTGATTGCGGCATTTAACAACATTCACTCAGTGACTCAGTGTATAACCACACTTCACCTGTATACAACTGGGTTGACAAACACAGATCGTGTATTAACAACTTCCTTATCCGTGTCAGTTTATCGATGTTTTCTTCCGATGACCCCAGCCGAATCATATGTTCTCGGTAAGGACCGGAAGTTATTATCTTTGCTGAATATTCCACTTAATGCTTCGTCTCTATTTCCAGACTTTCTGTTTCAGTCTCACAATCTGAGGTTATTGACTGGCAGACAGACGACAGGAATTCCAAGGCATCGAGTCAATAGAACATTGATAATTTCGTACCTTACCCAAAAATCTTCATCTGCGGTACTGACTGTATATTGACAAAGTTTTTATTATTCAGTTGCGTAAAATCAATTTGAGCATGACTTCCGGTTAGACCTGGATTGATCGCTAGCTAACTCTCGTTCCCGGGAATGCGGACTGTCATATTTGCTTTGTGGGTATTTTTTTCAAAATTCTTGTCATCCCGGACTGAATGCATAACATTTGCCCCGGATAACCGGAAGTCGTCTGGTCCCACCGATTCTTACTAAAATATTGCGTTTACCGCTAATAATGCGTTGAAAAAGTCAGCGCACATAGACAGAGAACCAGTTTACAACTCACGTCTTTCTTCACGTTGAATGGAGGAGGCGGGGGTTGTGGTATGAATTCGTTGTCGTCCATGAACGGCCCGACAAGCATGGCCCCTGTACTTGTTGCCGCCGCTCTCTGCATATCCGCCACACCTGGCTCCAAGCCTCGATGGCGATACTGTAACAGACAAAGAAACTTTGATGGGAGGCATTAACGTCAGGTGCACCCCTATTTGTATGGCAGATCCATCTAAGATGATCTATTTGTGTCTGTGTGAAGGCGATCTATTTGTTTTTTTGTTTAACGCTGCATTCAGCAACTACATGTATATCACGGTGGTCTGTAACCAGACAATCCAGTGATTGACAGCATGAGCATTGATTGAGGAATTGGGATACAATGACAGATGTGAACCAAGTCGGCGGGCCTGACAAACGATGCCTTTAGTCGACGATCATGGGTTAGGGCGGACCAATTTTACGGGCTTCTATCTGTAAATAATCGGATCTGGACCAGATAATTCAGTAAATAACAACATGATCATCGGTCTAAACAGTTTGAATACGATGACATATGTATCAACTAAGTCAAAGTGCATGACCTCTCAAACAACTAGCATGTATTTCATATTTCTCACACCATACATGTATTTTCCATTTCTCACACCATACACGTATTTATCATGCACGGAATACCAAGAGGGTACACTCTAATATCATTTCTACATCCGTATCAAGAAATAAAAGTGAAAGAGCATTTGAAGGTTCGTTGATACCCCGTATACCAACCACAAGCTGATTCCATTTGCTGCTCTCTTCAATACTTAGTTTCTTAATATTTTACGAGCGCTTCGAGCTAATGCTTTTTACGGTTTGTTTGTCAGACTGGTTCTCTGGGTATGCTGTGCTGGCGCTTCACTGCTGACGCCACTATGCGTCTGCGCAGCAAACCCATGGAACCAGGCTGGTTAATGGATTTGTTTCTCATGTCCTAACTCAACACATCTGTCCTGTCGATGTTCCTGAGTGTAACACACGTGTACTTATCTCAGCGTAAGAGGGCTACTTTCGTCATGGCGACCGATTTGGGACAATCGTTGTGTGAATAGACATTGAAGTCCAAAGGCTACTTAACATGTAGGAATGCCATGTCAGGAATGACGTAATTGCCATTATTTATAATACGCTTATCCCAATAATCCCCGTTGTATTGTACACCGACTGTCAGCCATCCTGAACCAGCTGTGTAATCATACCCCTCGTTAATTAGTATTGTTCATGTATGGCTTTATCCAAATTCATTCGCATTGGGTGACATTGGACATACAAAAGTTAGTCCGGGAACGAAAACAGGAAGTTGTTACCCTTCGCCTAGGCTAATATCTATTCTCAGAAACTGACGCATTTGAAAGAGTGAGTTTAGTTTTACGCCGCACTCAGCAATATTCCAGCTATATGGCGGCGGTCTGTAAATAATCGAGCCTGGACCAGACAATCCAGTGAGCATCGATCTGCGTATTTGGGAACCGATGACATGTGTCAACCAAGTCAGAGAGCCTGACCACCCGATCCCGTTAGTCGCCTTCTACGACAAGCATTGGTTACTGAAGATCATTATTCTAACCCGGATCTTCACGGGTCATTTGAAAGAGAGAAACAAAACAGTTCCTAAATTAATTTTAAGAAAAATTGATTTAAAATGAGCCCAGAGTTTTCTTTCATTTTCAGATACTGCAGCAAGCCTCATTGTCCAGACCAGCATGAGCTACCCTTAGCCTCGCTTGGGTTAGACCAGTACACAAGTACTAACAGAATGTGCTAACCTGGTACACGGTGCTTCTTTTGTATGTCTAGCTACATAAAGCAAACATATATCACATGCTATCGACTCCATGCTGTAACCTAGCGGAACTGTACACGGACCCCATCGCTACAGGAATATGTAAATATACCGACAAACAAAAGAAAGTACGCACTTGGTTCTTTGGGATTATTTTCACGATATCTGGGGTGTTTGGGAAACACGTACACAGTGGTTTTTAATGTAAATTCACAAACAAAACATTTCGGTTTAACATTTCCGTTGTCTTTTTTATTTTTGTTGTCTGTGGAAAAGATCTCCGAAAACAGGTAAACTTTCTTTTGTACGTCAGTGTAGTATTTTCAACTACATTTGTCTGTACCCCAATGCAGCCATGTGCTGTCACGTTTTCCAATTCAGTCGATCACGAACATTATCGAACCAACGGATCACGTTCCATAAAGTGAAGGTGCATCATATTTTTCACTGTTTAACTTCAGGGGGCGGTGGGGTAGTTTAAAGCTTGGCAGAAGATGTTTTCGAATCCCCATATGGTACAATGTGTGAAGCCCAGTTCATGTTGCTGGAATATTGCTAAAAGCGGCTTAAAACCAATCTCAGTTTAACTTCAGAGATGTTTACAAATATGGTTTGCAGTTCATCTGTCAGTACATCTGTTTTGTTGATTTTTGTAAGAAAGGTTGTTATTACAAATAATAAAGCGACCCTAAAACTTAACGACCTTCAATATATAATTAATGTTTAATCTCTGAAATGAGCAAAGGGTGTTTGTAGACGAACTTTGCTCGTAAATTAAACACTTCTATAAGTAAATTTCAGATAGCAGATTATGGTATAAACTAACATGGATCTTTGTTTGTCTAATCTTCCTGAAATCAGATCTTAGTTACTGCTAAACCATGATCTGAGGATTTCTTATTATCAATAACTTGTTTGCATAACTTACATGTATACCTGATCACAAAGCGTCGATTGATACGCGGCATCGATTTCACAAATGCGTGATATTTCAAAACGGTCCGATATCTTCGTTGTCTAAACGTATGTAAAAGTGTATTGAAAAGAACATTGAGGAAAACATACATACCTAACATCAAACGTCAGCTTCTCCCTCGCAGTCAGTCTCTAATGGGTTTAATCAATATCCTGACAATGACTGCGTACTCTGTAACTAGGCAAGTACAGGTTACACCTTTTTTGTAGGTCGATAAATATTTCAGCAGTTACTTGACTCACGGTCCGGTAATCCTGGTATCGTATGCTTAGACTGTTCGATAAATACACCGTTTTATTGGGATGATATTCGTGTCAGATAGCTTAACTCCGGTCCGCGCAGTTAGATATTTAATCAATAAACATCGCTGCATATTAGGTTGTGGCATTACAGATATATTGATAAGTGGCAACGAGGACATGAAGTGGACTGAATGAATATTGTTTAATGCCGCTAAGTTTATCACAGCGGGGTGTGAGTAATTGAATCTGGGCCAGGGGTATGGAGCATCAGGTACGACCTTTGAAATGATGGGCTCAGACAAATTATTCTGCATCCGCACATGTCAGTACTGGAGGCATCAGGTACGACCTTCATGAAATGATGACAGCAGTCAACCTGGAAACATGTAGTACCATTCTGCCTCTGAATCCCAACGGGACATATAAGTATAGAGGACATGCATCTGGATGTAATGGCCTCATAGGAAGCCACATAGTAAAATCTAAAGAATAAGTTCAAGCAATATGATTTTAAGGAATGAGACCATACACTTGCACGTGTCCGTACTATACACCTGAACATGTCAGGACCATACATCTGAAATGTCAGGACCATACACCTGAACATGTCAGTACCATACACCTGAACATGTCAGTACCATACACCTGAACATGTCAGTACCATACACCTGAACATGTCAGTACCATACACCTGAACATGTCAGTACCATACACCTGAACATGTCAGTACCATACACCTGAACATGTCAGTACCATACACCTGAACATGTCAGTACCATACACCTGAACATGTCAGTACCATACACCTGAACATGTCAGTACCATACACCTGCACATCTCAGTAGCATACACCTGAACGTGTCAGTACCATACACGTGGCATGTTGTTGAGGAAATCTTGAAGCAGATCGTAAGCGTTTAGCACGATATATATGCACACTCATAGATAAAGTAAACACAAACATAATCAGAGCGAAACAGGAATTCGAATCCACTATCACAGGTTTCCGGCACGTCCAGGGGAAGCAACTCTGCACATAGAATTACTTTTGATAACAGTGAACCATCTTATCGGTTCTAATGATTAATGGCTGCTGTAATCATAATCAGTACGTCAAGGTAAAATAGACTCACCGTGGCAATATTACGCCCATGATCAATAAGTCGGTTTAATAAACGTAGTATCAATCAATCAGATGCTTTACTCTTACCGACTTGACTTTGAGATCGTCTCCAATGGAGACACTCGTCTCACCTGAACCCTATAGGTCTCATTGGTGCTTTATTAGCTAGTTTCCCGATGATATTGCTGGAATATTGCTCAAAGCAGCGTAAAACCAAACTATGTCACTCACCATTATATTTGTTTGTTGTTTAACGCCGCACTCAGCAATATTCCAGCTATCCAGTGATCAACAGCATGATCACCATTAACTAGTTTCACTAGGTCACGTGGTGAACGCAATACAACACGGTGCCTGAGTAGTCGTTGTGTTATGTTAATTTTATATAAAAATATATATCCATAATATTTATCCATAATTTAGGCTTGAAAAGTCTCAAAGTGGCCGTCATGCCGTACGAGCCACACTACCAAAAAGAAGTTAAGGATCACTTCCATATCGCTACACTCATGGTATGAAGGAATGAGTGTTCCTTAACTAATTTGAGTAGTATATATGTGAACTGTCGGCTTGTGTGGGTTTATAGACAATTCAGACGACACCGATACTCTATCGTTGTCAGGTATTATGTCGGTAACGGAAATATCCGAGCGATCCGGAATGCTCCAACAGAGCCGTTCTTTTGATAAGTGTTTTATTTCAAAATATCTATAAACAGCCTGTCTATACACACCATCGTCACAACAGATGCTTACCATGTCCACGTGTAAACAAATCCGTAGCATTGTACATATATTTACAACGGCTATTTGCCATACAATTCTAAACAAATCTGTGCTCGTTTTGTATTGCAAATTTCCCGAGCCACATACACATGTATATCCCTTTTCTCCCGTCCTTCTGAAACTGCTCAAAGCTGACAAAGGTTATCGCCGTAAATGCTCTTTCTTCTCTATTCACACGTAACCCGATACATAAATCCATTTGTAACAAAGGT